ATTATTCAACTGATGTTAAACCAAGAGTTACACTTTCAGAATATTTTTTTTCTTAAAAAAAAACTGATAGATACTGTTCCAAGGGTTCAGAAACCAATTTTCCAGAACACAAAATTATGATAATTTAACAGCTGCACTTTCAGAAAAATCCTAGCTGTAAAAAAAATAATCAGCTGTTGCCCAATGGGTTAACCATACATAAACAGATATGCACACCTCAAGAACTAATTCTTATACTAGCATTCTTTTAAAGCTTCTCATTCATAAAAATCGAGAACATCAAATTAAATATGTATACACAATGATACTCTTTTAAGAAAGAAGAAACACCAATCAAAGAACACAAATTTTGTGGCTGTACAGATTTTCACAGGACAGAAATTAAAATAATCCGATCTCCACTTACTGTTACTTCACATACACACACACACAGACACACATAGGTTCATTAAAATACACAGAAAAATTGGTTCAGTTAAAACTGAATGCTGTATCACTCCTCCCTCATATCTTGGAGGTCACATGTTCAAATCCAAGCCTGGAGGCAGGCTCACCTGAGATTTTTCATGGTTTTGACAAATTCCACCAGGCAAATTCTGAGGCTGTACCTTAAAAGAAACAACCACTTCCTTCTACATTTGTTTTCCATTTCCCTCACAAACCATACTACCATTTGACACTCATAACCTGTGCAGTTGAAAACACGCTGATAAATAAAGCAACAATCAGTTAATCAGAACCATAAATGTTAACCAGTTTTGGTGTGCTCAAAATGAAAAGTTCCAAAAATGCACCCACTGACTTCCCCACATCTGCATGCAACAACACGAATACAGAACGACTGATGGGATTTTCATCAAATCTGAAACTGGACAGTTTTACTAAAATCTGTTCACACGTTCTAATTCTGGTTAAATTCGTACAACAATACTGTACACCATATGAAAACCCTGAAGTGACAGGAGGTTGGAGAAAACTGCATAATGAGGAGCTTCATAACTTGTACTCTTCTCCAAGTATAATTAGAATAATCAAGTCAAGGAGGATGAGGTGGGCAGGGCATGTAGCATGAATGGGGGAGAAGAGGAATGCATATAGGATATTAGCGGGAAGACCAAGGCATAGGTGGGTGGACAATATTAAAATGGATCTTAGAGAAATAGGATGGGATGGTATGGATTGGATTGATCTGGCTCAGGACAGGGACCCCTGGAGGGCTCTTGTGAACATGGTAATGAACCTTTGGGTTCCATAAAATGCTGGGAAATTCTTGAGTAGCTGCAGAATTGGTGGCTCCTCAAGAAGGGATCAGCTCCATGAGTAAGTAAGTAAGTAAGTTAGTAATATGAAAATTTACATGTGTATTTCCTTAAATCAAGATAATGTGGTAAATATTTAGCACAATGATATTGTTGAGAAAATGAAACACAGGTTTTTAAGCACAATACACTCTATCCAGAAGTCTTACAGTTTTGAGACATATAAAGTGACTCTTATGCTATGCCATCTCATTGTCCAACATGTGTGGAGGCCCTTGCTCAAATTTATCAAACCATCCCACATCTGACAGCGAAACACTTGAGCCTGGAAGTGGCAACTGCAATGTTAGCTGAAGTGTTGGATACATATGAATATGGAAATGTTGAAGCCTGAGAAATACAGTTATACAGGGATACTATAAATCATTCATTCATTTTTAAAAATCTATATTTTCCAAAGTATTACACGTACAAATATGATTGATATATAAAAAGAACTGTAAACTCACCAGGTTTGTATTGTGTGCACCAGTTGGCAGCACGAGTTCAGTGCCTTTATAAAATGGCAACAAAGCAAGAAAAGAGTTTTTGTTTGTTGGAATATGCGAGATGTTCGTCTGTTATAGCAGTGCAACGCACATTCAAAAGAGAGTACGGAAAAGAACCGCCATGTAAACAACATTCCGGGGATTTTGTCTTCCAACAAGGCGGGGCACCCCCTCATTTGAACATCAATGTTCATCGCTACCTAAACAATGAACTTCGGCATCGCTGGATTGGGCGTGTTGGTGAGGATGACATAGCTCTGTTCACTTGGCCTCCCAGATCACCTGATCTAACACCTTGTGACTTCTTCCTTTGGGGGTACATTAAGGATTGTGTTTACGTACCCCCACTATCAAGAACACTAGTAGAGCTGAGGCAACGAATCGATGCTGCAGTGATGACCATTGATAGGATGCTATAAAATGTGTGGAACGAGCTCGACTACGGCCTGGATGTGTCATGTGACCCAAGGGGCATACATAGAACATTTGTAGAGTGTGAAAAAAACTTGGTGAGTTTACGGTTCTTTTCAATATCAATCATATTTGTACGTGTAATGTTTTGGAAAATATAGCGTTTTAAAAACGAATGAATCATTTATAGTAGCCCTGTACTTTGCTAACATTTGTTGACTCTAACTATATTACTTCCAAAAATAATAATTTTAAAATTTGTTTACTGTTTACTATATCAATGTCAAACAATTCCATGCAGTATGAAATGTTTATACTTCACAGAACTAACCTCTTTGCTTATGCTATACTCAATTTTTTCATGTCTGTCAAAATCAAAATCTTCAAATGCATCTTCCCCTTTCTCTGCAGAAGCTTCATCCACACTACTGTGGGCTTTCCCATGCTTTAGAACCAGCTTCAAGGGGGTCCTGCGTTTCTCAGGTGATGATCGCTGCAACTTGATCACCGTCTTCAGGGTCCCAGTGTAGTTACCTTCACAGGGCTTATTACGACTGCCAGAAGATGTAATGCTAGCCTATAAAGCAGTAACAGCTCTAAGAAAGAGAGATACATCCTGCAATGAATAGGACAAGTCACACGAAATTAAAGAATTAATTACACGTGAACCGGATCCTGTTATTACATGCAATATTTTACGGATTGTGGAGGGCCAACATTACATCACATTCCACAAAATGTTCATATCGCTTGGAATTGGTGGTCAAAAGAGAGGGAAGGGGAAGTATGACAATTTGGCACTCTCTGATCAGTGTTTTTCTTTCTGTATTTTCTAACAGCATCTACAATATTTCTGTTACACAATCCTACGACAAGACATACGTTCACTGATTCAATAAAGGAACAGCCACTTCCCATGCGAAGTTGGTATGTCACATGCTTTCCCAAGCTTAGTATGCATATACTGACTTGAAATGTAATAGATACAAGTGTCTGTCTCCATTACAGTAGTGTGTATTTCAAGACTGTCAGGTACGGCAAACATCAACACAAAATTCTGCATCAAATGAGTCTCTACAAACACCACATGATACATATGAAATGTCCTTAGAATGTGATGGCACGAGTTGACATTTTCTCATGGTTGTAACTTCTTAAGGAAGGCACTCAGGGTATGGTAGTCAAGAAGATTGATTTTTTCTTTTAACAGCCAACAAATAATACAGTAATTCTGAGTCTCCATCTCTCAATATGCCGAGATATATGAAAAAGGCAGTCATTCTGGCATGGACACTCAGTCAGTGCACAGGAGGTGTGAAATGAACATATTCTCTGTACAAGTGAGCACGGCATTATCACAAACTTAACATAAACAACTGACACATGGCCATGGTTCTGACTGCAGCATACAAATTGTTTAGGTATTTCAAGGAGGGCCAACAATCACTGAAGGATGTCCTGCAGAAGGGAAGAGCATTAACAGCAGCTCACAATGTAGGAACTATTGCCTGCATTCAAGAGGTCATCTGAGGGAACTGTAGACAAATGAATGATAAAGCTATCAAAACTGTCAATGTGTCACATGACATATGCCAAGCCATTCTGCATGATAACTTCAGACAACAGTTCATGAACCTACTATTGCATCATAAATGGTATTTGTAGAAGTGCACATCTTGTGTTACTATTCTAAGGCAAACAAACTCCATGGTTTTAGTCCACAAGCAAACTATACCAACTGAGCGACCGCCGCTTGTTGGCAAAGTTAGTGCCAACTTTTGCGGATAGAGTGTGTCGCGTAGTCAGCGCAACGGATCCCAACAGCCGTTAATCTCAGTTTTCTAGACAGGAGCTGCTATTTTCTTGAAACAGCTCCTCAATTATCCTCACGAGGCTGAGTGGACCCTGTTCCAGACCCACTACTTCTCAGAAAATCTGGTAACATGAAGAACAGAACCCGGGACCTCTGGATCTGTAGCCAGAAACTATGACCACTAAACCACAGAGGCTGAAAAAAATACATTCACTTAGTATTAACATTTCAGGCAAAACATATTAAGCCTACATTTCTACTGCACACTTTTGGACCTACAAATCTTATGATTTTAATGCCTTATTTAGACAATGTAAATTTATATGCTAATCTAACAATAATATTCAGTTTAGCTCACGAGCTAGCAAGCTGGGCTTGTGCACAGATGGTCATAAAATCGAATCCTAGCAGAGTCAAACTGTCATTGCTTGCAACTACATGCATTTGGTGAAACCTGGTTACTTAGGATGTGGAACAAGTCAGTGCACAAATAATTGCTTAATTCAGTTTTGTTCAATCTTGCATGGGATAGCAGATGAAACAAAACTGGATTAAGTTTCAACTACACCATCATCAACGTTCATGATGTCTATTTTACTCATAGACGCTGATGAGGTAAATGTTATCCCAAAGTTTCAACTTCTTATTCCTAATAAATCCCAACATTTTAAGTCAGATGACATACAGCAAGCAGCAGACCTTCTTTTGACTAATGTGTAAATGGCTCCATTATTTAAGAATTCAGGACTGTAACATTTGGTGTCTAGCAGTAGTTTTTCTCAAGGCATCTATTGGTGCAGAGTTCATACACATATCTTCAATAGTTTGGGAGTTACAACCTTTGTACAAGCCTTTAAAAAGCACTGCAGGATTGTACTTAGAAGGCTGAAAATTTTGATTTGTTTCATTCTGGTCCGTCACACTAACAATATTACAAATGATAAAACAATTCCGTCCAGTGGGACTGTTGAAGCTTTTACTACTTCACTTCTTAGCACCCTAACATGTTTCGGTCCCTACAGACCATCATCGGAGGGAACAGCAATACTTTTAGAAACTACTATTACACTGGGTGTTTTGATTTTTAAAATACATAAATATACAATATTTGTAACATACACTTTATACAAGATCCAAATTTTTACAACTACAGCAACTGTCCTTGATGCATTAAAGTTTTTTTAAAACCTTTTTGTTATTTAAGTTAAAATTCTTTAACTGAATAGATTCGTGTCCCTTGTCCTTTCGTTTTTCTTGACGGGGCCGAACTTGTGCTGCCTGTCTTTCTTGGTGAGGTAGTTTTGCAAATACAGTAAAACTTGGTTATAGCAACATCGGTTTCTGCGACACCTTGTCTATTGCGTCAAATATTCAATGGTACGAACTAATTCCTCATAAAGCAACTGTTTTTATACCTTGCTTAGCACGACATGCACAAATGCATCAACCTCGTATGTAACGTCATTTTCATTCCTGAATTTCTCTGATATGGACATTGAACGTAATTTAGAAANATATATATATATATATATTAAAGAGTTTGTTTTTCATCCTACCTTGTCGTCATCCTATGTTTGTTCGTAGCGTGCTGTGTTGTTTTTACTGTTCTAGTATGTACTGTGTCGCGCAATTTATACTTCCTGAGTTTGTGACGTTAGTGTGGGTGTGTTCTGATGTTGTATTATGAGGTCGAACATGTTACGTTGTTATTACTTTCCTTTGTGTGTTTTTGTTCTTCTATTAATTTACTGAGCTTATTAAAATGATACATATGGAAATCTTCTTTTATATTCATGATGCCTCCTTTTATGGCTTTCTCAATCATTTCCATGATTATTGTCATCAGTCCATACTGGTGTTGTTTATTTAATATATGTTGGGCAAATCCTGATTCATCTTTATTTAGTCTTATGTTTCTTATGCGTTCTTTATACCTTGTTGTTAGATTTCTACCAGTTTGGCCGATGTATACTTTTTGGGAGCTTTTTCATAGACCCCACTTAGTTCATGGGGATTTATTTCTCGTTTTTCATTTATTAGTTTACCTATTGTGTGGGTTGTTTTGAAGGCTATCTTTATATTAGTGTTTTTGAATAATTTTGTGATTTTTTGTAGTTTCCTGCATAAGTATAAGTGACCCATTTTTGTTCTTTTTCATCTTTATTATCTGATTTACTTTTCTTCTGTTTAAGTTTGTTATGTAGTTTTATGATGTCTTCCTTTCTACAGCCATTATTTAGCGCTATATTAATAATAGTATTTAGCTCTTTATTTTTAGCATTTTCCTCAAGGGGTAGTGTGAGAAGTCTGTGTATTCAATTTTTATATGCCGCTAATTTTTGTTCCCTGGGGTGGCATGATTTATTATTTACTGTTATGTCTGTTGTTGTGGGTTTTCTATATATTTCCATTTTTATTTGTCCGCGTATGTTAAATAGGTTTAAGTCCAAGTAGGTTATTTGGTTGTTTACTTCCTCATTTACTGTGAATTACAAGGTTTTTGCTGTTCATTAAAGTGTTCGAGGAGGCATTGTGGGGTTATTTTTGTCTGATTATATATTATGAAGATATCATCTATGTATCTATTATAGTATGTAATTTTCTCGTCTTCTGGGAGATGTTTTATTCTGTTTTGTTCTAGGTGTTGTAGGAAGATTTCTGCCATTGTACTTGATAGAGGTGAGCCCATGGCTACACCAGATCTTGGTTTGTAGATGGTAGTACCAAGTAGGTCTATAGGAACCAAAACATGTTAGGGTGCTAAGAAGTGAAGTAGTAAAAGCTACAACAGTCACACTGGATGGAACTGTTTTATCGTCTGAGAAATGTATCCAGCATAAACAAATGTTTAATCTATTATAAAATGAATAACTTAGAGTGGCCTCTTTTCACCACTGCAAAGAAATTAAAATTTAGAATTATGAACTAATATCATGTTCGTCCTTCTTCTGGAGTCTTGGTAGCAATGAGGTGTGAGAAGATCTGGCAACACTGCTAGATGTCACTACATAAGTTTGTCTATCTATCATGTTATTACTGACTGCAGAAGATAAAAAATAATGAGTTTAGGCTGGCCTCCAATGGCTTAACGGTCATACCAAATTTTGTATACGTCAGTCAATAGTTGAAATATGTGAGTCCTGAGGGATATAATTTGTTTCCTGCTTAGTGTATATACAGTATTTCTTGCATATGATCATCTACACTCATTACAACAATTTTTTTTTTAAATTTCATTCACATTAACATAATTTGTTGTGATAAGTGTAGTCATATACAAGAAATAACCTTAACCACTTGCCTGGGGAGTTCTATCTGCTGTGGTGTAACCCGGCCCTTGGTAGCTTTTTTTTTTCCAGCCATCTAACTCTAAATACTTTACAATGCAAAATTTTCAATATTTAAAATTCTGATGCATTAAAGTCCAAAAACTATCCTTATTTACACACTTCTAGTTCAAACTACAGTAAAACTTGGTTATAGCAACATCGGTTTCTGCAACACCTTGTCTATTGCGTCAAATATTCAATGGTACGAACTAATTCCTCATAAAGCAATTGTTTTTATACCTTGCTTAGTACGACATGCACAAATGCATCAACCTCGTATGTAACGTCATTTTCATTCCTGAATTTCTCTGATATCATGGGAAAATTCAATGTGTCTGCCCACCCTCACTTTCTCTACTTGCTGACGTGACTTTCTTGGAAGGGCTGCAAGAGGAGCGTGGGTTTTATGCGAAAACAAGGGTATAGGGTGGGACTGCGTGAATAGTGCAAGAGGACGCGGCAGGTTGTTAACTGCATTCCTTTCCTAGAATCTCGTCTAACAGGACCTCACATTGTCTACTTACCCTATAGTGTTCCTGCCTAAACCCAGAGAAGTGCAGTAGCGAAAACATGGCAATGAAAAGGAAAGTTTTAAGCATTGAACAGAAAGTTAAAGCGATCCGTGAAATATTGTGTGTATTGTCAGTGAAAAGCGCTGTAATATGTCTTTGATATTACACATTTGGGCAATTCCACGTTAATGTTACGTTAGTCTGTACTTAACTACGTATTTCACTAAAAAATGCAACATTTTAACTCGGTTTTTGGTAGATTTTTGCGTGACTAACATAAGGCTACTGTGGAAGTGACCATTTCGGTTACAACGACATTCGTTTATAGCGACACTATTTTTAGGTCCCTTTGATGACGTTATAACCAAGTTCTACTGTATTTGGTGCCATTTTAAGAAAACAAGAATCTACTGCCACAGCACATGCAATAGACAAGAAATCTGATGGATGCCAGGTATTATGCTGCCTCCCCTGCACACTGCAGCCACCTAGACATGAAAATTCCAACTGTTACAATGGTAAAAGTTCCAGTTCGCTAACTCATCATACCCAGGAGCTACGTGCAGAAGTACGTAATGGTATGTCAAACTCATGTTATCGTTGGTCCATGATGGAACAGTTTGTCCTACCCAGCAAATGGGTTAATAACCGGGATCAAGTGAACCCTGCCACCTCCCTGTGGTGGTACCTGGGGGCTGCAGGCTGCCTGAATGACTAATGATAGTAGTGTCCTAAGGTAAGGCATGACCTACTGCATTGAGACCTGCAAAGCACTGAGGGGGCAGCACGGTGGGTGATGCCCTTGGGATACAGGGGGGACATCCCACTGCAAGCTAAACTTCTTTCCACATACAGGG